GAGACACAGCGAGACAGGAGGCAGCTGTAGACTAACAGTGACACTACGTAGAGAGAGACACAGCGAGACAGGAGACAGCTGTAGACTAACAGTGACACTACGTAGAGAGAGACACAGCGAGACAGGAGGCAGCTGTAGACTAACAGTGACACTACGTAGAGAGAGACACAGCGAGACAGGAGGCAGCTGTAGACTAACAGTGACACTACCTAGAGAGAGACACAGCGAGACAGGAGGCAGCTGTAGACTAACAGTGACACTCACGTAGAGAGAGACACAGCGAGACAGGAGGCAGCTGTAGACTAACAGTGACACTCACGAAGTGAGAGGCACAGCGAGACAGGAGACAGCTGTAGACTAACAGAGACACTACGTAGAGAGAGACACAGCGAGACAGGAGACAGCTGTAGACTAACAGTGACACTACGTAGAGAGAGACACAGCGAGACAGGAGGCAGCTGTAGACTAACAGTGACACTCACGTAGAGAGAGACACAGCGAGACAGGAGGCAGCTGTAGACTAACAGTGACACTACGTAGAGAGAGACACAGCGAGACAGGAGGCAGCTGTAGACTAACAGTGACACTACGTAGAGAGAGACACAGCGAGCCAGGAGACAGCTGTAGACTAACAGAGACACTCACGTAGAGAGAGACACAGCGAGACAGGAGGCAGCTGTAGACTAACAGTGACACTCACGTAGAGAGAGACACAGCGAGACAGGAGACAGCTGTAGACTAACAGTGACACTACGTAGAGAGAGACACAGCGAGACAGGCAGCTGTAGACTAACAGTGCCTCTCACGTAGAGAGAGACACAGCGAGACAGGAGACAGCTGTAGACTAACAGTGACACTCACGTAGAGAGAGACACAGCGAGACAGGAGACAGCTGTAGACTAACAGTGACATTCACGTAGAGAGAGACACAGCTAGACAGAAGACAGCTGTAGACTAACAGTGACACTACGTAGAGAGAGACACAGCGAGACAGGGCAGCTGTAGACTAACAGTGCCTCTCACGTAGAGAGAGACACAGCGAGACATGAGACAGCTGTAGACTAACAGTGACACTCACGTAGAGAGAGACACAGCGAGACAGGAGACAGCTGTAGACTAACAGTGACACTCACGTAGAGAGAGACTCAGCGAGACAGGAGACAGCTGTAGACTAACAGTGACACTACGTAGAGAGAGACACAGCGAAACAGGAGACAGCTGTAGACTAACAGTGACACTCACGTAGAGAGAGACACAGCGAGACAGGAGACAGCTGTAGACTAACAGTGACACTACGTAGAGAGAGACACAGCGAGACAGGAGGCAGCTGTAGACTAACAGTGACACTACGTAGAGAGAGACACAGCGAGACAGGAGACAGCTGTAGACTAACAGTGACACTACGTAGAGAGAGACACAGCGAGACAGGAGGCAGCTGTAGACTAACAGTGACACTACGTAGAGAGAGACACAGCGAGACAGGAGCAGCTGTAGACTAACAGTGACACTACGTAGAGAGAGACACAGCGAGACAGGAGGCAGCTGTAGACTAACAGTGACACTCACGTAGAGAGAGACACAGCGAGACAGGAGGCAGCTGTAGACTAACAGTGACACTCACGAAGTGAGAGGCACAGCGAGACAGGAGACAGCTGTAGACTAACAGTGACACTACGTAGAGAGAGACACAGCGAGACAGGAGACAGCTGTAGACTAACAGTGACACTACGTAGAGAGAGACACAGCGAGACAGGAGGCAGCTGTAGACTAACAGTGACACTCACGTAGAGAGAGACACAGCGAGACAGGAGGCAGCTGTAGACTAACAGTGACACTACGTAGAGAGAGACACAGCGAGACAGGAGGCAGCTGTAGACTAACAGTGACACTACGTAGAGAGAGACACAGCGAGCCAGGAGACAGCTGTAGACTAACAGAGACACTCACGTAGAGAGAGACACAGCGAGACAGGAGGCAGCTGTAGACTAACAGTGACACTCACGTAGAGAGAGACACAGCGAGACAGGAGACAGCTGTAGACTAACAGTGACACTACGTAGAGAGAGACACAGCGAGACAGGCAGCTGTAGACTAACAGTGCCTCTCACGTAGAGAGAGACACAGCGAGACAGGAGACAGCTGTAGACTAACAGTGACACTCACGTAGAGAGAGACACAGCGAGACAGGAGACAGCTGTAGACTAACAGTGACATTCACGTAGAGAGAGACACAGCTAGACAGAAGACAGCTGTAGACTAACAGTGACACTACGTAGAGAGAGACACAGCGAGACAGGCAGCTGTAGACTAACAGTGCCTCTCACGTAGAGAGAGACACAGCGAGACATGAGACAGCTGTAGACTAACAGTGACACTCACGTAGAGAGAGACACAGCGAGACAGGAGACAGCTGTAGACTAACAGTGACACTCACGTAGAGAGAGACTCAGCGAGACAGGAGACAGCTGTAGACTAACAGTGACACTACGTAGAGAGAGACACAGCGAAACAGGAGACAGCTGTAGACTAACAGTGACACTCACGTAGAGAGAGACACAGCGAGACAGGAGACAGCTGTAGACTAACAGTGACACTACGTACAGAGAGACACAGCGAGACAGGAGGCAGCTGTAGACTAACAGTGACACTCACGTAGAGAGAGACACAGCGAGACAGGAGACAGCTGTCTCGACGGTCAATGGTATAGTGTATAGCAGATTGTATAATAATAAATAGTATAAAATTGTAATGTTTAATACAATGTATAAGGCAATATATAGTATCGTAATTGTATAGTGAATATACAGCAGTGTGATATACAGTAGGGTGGATAGAATAATACAGTGTAATATTACACTATGTATTACTCTAAGGTATAGGGTGGTGTATAGTAATACAGTATATAATTTAACGCTGGGTTTGTCTATGGCAGCATATAGTACGGGGTGAGTGTGAAATGGACTCGAACCTGCACCTCGGCATTGCAAGTGCAGTGAGCTGACGCCCCCCGCGTGTGGAGGGTAAAGTTGTGGGTACACCCACCTCGCTCCAACGGGTCTGGACCAGCGTGGAAGAGTAGACCAAATACCCCACATCGCGGCCTCTAGTGGAGGCCATTTGCTGCCACGACAACAACTCCGTCCCTCCAGATACAAAACAACTAAATGTAACTCATCCCATCAGCCACAATCTGGCAGTGCCTCTCCTCATCATCATCATCAGCAGCAGGCCGCGCTCTGCTGGGAGCAGCGCCGTGAACTCAGCAGGCGCCCAGAGCCTAACGGCTGTGAGCCAGGCGCCTCCTCTGCCTCCCCTCTCCACCACCGCCACTGCTGATGTGTCCACACCGTGCAAGGTTCTCACCTTCTTCGGGCTGAGTCGATGTAGAGGAGGACCAGCCAGCGAGCCGCCGCTTCAGCAGCGACGGTGGCCGCGAGCGGGAATCCGAATCAACCGCTCGCCACCCACAATGCACAGCGCTGCCTCCACTCGCCCCGGCCTCAGCGGGGGGAGGGGCGGGGGAGAGGGGGCGGGGCGAGGGGGTGGGCATGGGGGGGGGCGAGGGGGGAGAGGGGCTCAGGGCTCCACGTCTCGGTGGGCGTGGTCACCTGGTACCGCCCCCTCGTCTCGAGCCACGCGCTTCCCCCTGGCAGTTTGTCCATTAGAGAGGCGGGGAGAAACTGGCGAAGGTGAGGAGTGGATCCTAGCTGTGGGTGGGTGGTGCGGTGGTGCGAGTCTGTGTGTGTGGTGTGAGTCTGTGTTTGTGTGAGTCCGTGTGTGTTTGTATCCGTGTGTGAGTCTGTGTGTGTGTGGAGTGGTTAACGCGCTGTCAACACCAGTGACGATTATATGAACCGGTCCTGGGCCTCCCCTAGGTCGACTCAGCCTCAAATGGGTACCTGGTGTGGTGTGTAAATATCGCCACTCGGAGACAAAGGCGTGGTGTTGGCCACCCACGCCCTCGTGTGCTTTTCCCGCCTTCATAGGTGATGCTGGCTAACAGCACTTGCCCCAACAGTTTATTTCAGCTATAAGGGGGATATTTATAGGTGTTGTTCGTGGTGGTGTTGTTGGTGGTGTTGATGGTGGTGTTGTTGGTGTTGATGGTGGTGTTGTTGGTGTTGTTGGTGGTGGTGCTGTTGGTGTTGTTGGTGGTGCTGGTGACGGTGTTGATGATGGTGATATTCTTGTTGGTGGTGGTACTGGTGTTGTTGGTGGTGATGTTGATGGTGTTAGTGGTGGTGGTGGTGGTTCCAACGAGCCATCCTGGGTTTAACCTAGCTGGATTGTGTGAGGAGCTCACAAATCCTTGAAGGATCTGGACACATTCCCACCAGTAAGCTCCTTCGGCAGGCAAGGCTGCGTTTGGTGGGTCTTGTAGCCCGCATACCCAAGCAGTTTCTTTTTGGCCACATAAAGGGGGCTAAACGGCCATGACATGGGCTGTCGAAAATATGGACTGATGCTGTATGGGAGGATGTTGAGTTGAGTGGACTTGTGAAAGACTGGTACCAGCGGTGTAAATAGCATCCTTCACGAGGAAGCTCGTGAAGGAGGCTACTGGACAGTTGGAGGCAGACTGCCTCCAACAACAACTGAGGGCAGAGGAGTGACGCTCACAACGAGTGGCGGATAAAATTCGGCAAGTTGGCACAGTTGGGCATACAGCTGGTGTATCTACCAATCATCTCAGCCAACCTTTGGAACCTGGGTCTGTCTCGTGACGTCTTGTCAGCGAGCCTTCGACACTTCGTGTGGCCTGAAAGTGCACCTGGCCTGGCAAAGGCGCCATGGTGACATCATCGCTACTAAGTGGCGAATGTCGGTTGTTGTTTTTGTGTTTCGTGTTGTGAGTGATTGGTGATGATGTGAGTCTGTGTTGATGATGTGGGTTCATGGTGTGAGTCCGCATTGTGACTTGACTCGTGTTGTGATGTGGGTGCCGTCACACCCCCTCGACTCTATGTGATCCTCGGCTTCGTCTCCTGCTTCGCACGCAGAGACCTGGACTGCGCGAGAGACGCTGTTAGTTCTGTGCACCCTGCTCTGCAATTGGCCACCATGGAGGTACATGTGGCTCTTCGACTCGTGTGGTGAAGTATTAATAGACGTGTGCTCTCCACTCCGAATGTGGCTACCTGTCACCTATCCATACACCTAAGTGTGCATCTGCTTGGCTGCCTGAGTGTGTGTGCATCTATCAGAGTATCTCCCCAAGATCCTCTCTGTGCACCTGCCTTTCTACGTTTTAATAATCTACTGTACTTTTATCTATCCACTACTGGATGAAGGCCTCCTTCCTTGAGACCCTGTTACCCCTCACGATCATGCGATGGAATAATCCACCAAGCACCGATTTTGTCGCTCCATCTTTCTAGCAGCCATCCTCTCATACGTGTTCCGATACTTGGCTGCACCTCCGTTATTGTTCTTGACCATCAGCCATCGTTGTTCCTCGTGGCTGTGGCATGTCCTGGCCCAGCCCTACTTCTCTTAACAGTTTGAAGGATGCCATTAACCTGCGTGTGTCCTTTAAATACACACGTGTCTCATTGTTAATCCAAGTGTGACATCTGACATTGGCCAAATATCCGAACGCTGAGAACTGACATCTCAGCAGGACCCTCCTGAATCTGGAGCCCAGGATCTCAGAGATCCTGGCTCAGTGCTCGCCGCTTGCACTATCCCCCACATCTTGCTAAAGCCTATGTGGTGGACCTTTGTCTTTGTGTGTGTGTAGATGAGCCAATCTGGAGAGGCGAGGAATAAGGGCGAATTTTGTACCACGTGGAGGGCGCTGTCCTCAGAGGGCACCGCCTCCATCTGCATCAAATCACCGCAAGGTAAGAACAGGAATGAGGGATGTCACAGAGGGCCATGGTGAATGGTGGAACATCACGATGGCCATGTTGCATGGTGGATGTCACAGTGGCCATGATTCATTTTAGATTTCTTAGCGGCCATGATGCATGAGTGATATCCAGGTGGCCAAGTTGCATGGGGGACTTCATGTTGGCAGTGTTGTATGGGGGACTTAATGGTAGCCATGTTGCATGGGGGACTGCATGATGGTGGCCCTGTTGCATGGGGATGATTATTTGTGCTCTGGCCCCAGCACATCACACGCTTTCAGATGCGCTTCCAATATTAGGAAGCCACTGGAGCTATACACTTTTAAATCATCTAGATTGAAAACTAATTTCTTGAGAACTTATTTGGGGCATCAAGTCCGATTTAGTTACATTTAATTTGTATCCCAAAGCACCTCCATATTCCGTCACTAAGGCCAGAACGGCGGGGAATTGAGGCCTCCGAATTTGGGTGATGAACAGGCGTCGCCACCCCACGCCAGCAGGGGGCGGCATAAGGGTAGCCGGTTCGTGAAGACCCGGCCCACGCCGCCTGGAACCCCCCTCCCACCTTCTCGGAGCTCCGGACCCCAGCAAGCCTCCCGAGGAAGATGCTGAAGGAAAGCGCTGGTGCGTTCACGGAGGATCGCAGCTTCCCAGGTCCGCGCTGCCAGGGTCACCTTGTAGGGGAAGTGTGGCCACCGAATGGAGAACTTGGCAACTTGTGAGGAGACGGAGCATTGTAGGAGAGGAGCGCAGGGAGGGGGATGGAGGTCAGACGTTGCACGAGAGGAGGCGAGTCACGTCTGAATGCCTACGAGATGGAGGAGAGCACCGGCCTCGCTGAAACCGGGGGCTTCCATGCAAAAGAATCGACGAGATTAAAAAAAAACAAGGAAAAAAATCGAGCGTGTTGTGAGGATTTATAGACAGTGGAGAAGTATCAAGAGGCGTGATAAGGGAGGGTGGCTTGCTACAAGGGGTAGGAGTGGTCCCTTCATCGCGCCTTCTTCTCTCGTGATTAGACTGCTCTTTCTCTCCATCGCGACGCTTAATGTTTACTTTCAGCCGGGAATAATTTTGCACTCGCACTCACCAGCGTGGTGAAATATGATCAAATGACCCCCATTGTTAATGCGACGTACGGGAGGGGCCTTCATCCGTTGTTGTGCTGAGAATGACTGGAATGGATTTTATTTTTGACGCATGCTGCAGTATCCTGCATTTGGGGAGTGGCGGTGCAGTGATTGGTGGTCTCAAGCTGCATTTCCAAGAGGGTCCTGAGGGCAGGAGCTGAATTGGTCGTCGTGTGTGGCAGGAAACTGGAATGCCCGAACAAAGCCTACGTATATGGAGGGGCTAACACCCAAGGAACTAATTTTATTTTTGTTCATCAGACAGCCCCAAAGACCCACACACACAAAACAGCCAGCAAAAAACATGACTATTAAATGTGTCACCGATAAAGAGATAATAAGTGTCTTGAATCGAGCACGGTTATAGGAATATTGGAAATACAGGGGGTAAAGTTTACGTGTGTCTGTGCGTATATTGTGTCGTGTCGGATGTGTGAGGAATTCCACTTCAGCCTTTGCAGTCTGTCACGAGAATTATGAAATGCTCCACATGACACCCAAGTTTTCAACAAAAGCTGGTAACGAGACAACGACGCACACATCTGCAGCCTTCTCTCTCAAGTGATATAATTTTGCTAAGTTCATTCCGAGCCTACGTTGATCCCCCATTGCGGCGTCTCCCAAGAACTTTAAACAGCCCGCCGAGCCCTCCCAGCCACCGTCGTGTTCCGATCGAGCCTGGCGACACGTGGCTCGGCAACGCGAGCCTTCGATTGATAACGGGGCGCAGGAGCTCACTCAGCAGACTCCCTCGCGGCATCGCGGCGATGACTACAGCCTCAAGCTAAACAAGCGCAGAACCTGCAGATCGCTGTGACATGTAAAGATGAAACCGTGGGAGCACAGCGTGCGTTGTGCACATTTTCCGAGGCGTAGCCCTCGTTTACAGGAGAACATAACTACGTGGAATGCACGTACAGGAGAACATACGTCCGTGTCACTCGACCACTTGGAGCATGCTGTTTAAGGAACTACCCTCCTCACGGTGTGTATTAATTTATAAAAATGTCAGGATAATTTTTCAACTGGTCTTGTGCACGAGTGGTTTAAGTCAAATCCATTGGTGCTAAACTAGTTTTGCGTTGCCAGACGTGACATGTTGCCTCCACCACGAGCAGCTTCCATTTGGGAAAGATGAGTGCACAGACACTCCTGGGCTTAAACACGTTTATGGCCACAACATTAATTTATAATACCGGTCCCTCCTTCATAGCGGGGATAGCCTGGTGGGACAGTGGGTTTTTGGATTATTAGATCAGCTGGTCGTGAGTCTGAGCCTAGCTGGCAAGGTTATAGGGTCATTTGGTGGATCAGTATTTTGGCAGTAAGTTACCAGGTTAGAGTGTTTATTGGATCAGTAGATCAGCTGGTGATCCGGTGGATAGGCTCGAAGTCAAATGAGTCGATTGATGGGTCAGAGTTTCACCAAGTCGGTGTATTGTATTGGCCTCGGTGTCTTATAGAGTCAGAGGGTGGGCAAGTCGGGTGTCGGGTTCATGTATATTGTTGCGAAAGTATTTTATTGGGTCATAGGATGGGGTGGCGAGTTATCGGTCTGTAAGTTATTTGGTCAGTGTGTCAGGATGATGCGTGTTGGGTCATTTACTCGGTGGGGGTACCCGTGGGCTGGCGGCCGGGTGGGGGTCGTTCGTCGGGTTGGTGGTTTGGCCGTTCGGTGACCGCGACGTCATCCGGCCATCCGTGCAAGCGTGGGTGGAGCAGCCCGTCGGCGAGACGGCTCTTCTCCTGCTCGTACCTCTGTACCAGCCGCCTGCCGGAGTTGACTAGAGCCTCGGCTCGCACTGTCATCTCCTCCTCGTAGCGCTCGCTCAAGCTGCGGAGAGACACCAGTGCCGGCTTCACAAGCGTGGTGGCACCAGCAGTACCCCGAACCGAGCAGAGCCCGGACTCGACACGCACTTGGGCCGACCGGACCAGGCCCCAACTTTAATAAACAAAACAAAACTAGCTTCGACCCTAACTGCACGATTGGTAATCACGCCACGCGATACGCACCTGATAGCGCCGAGTTGCATGCGTGAGAAGTTATTATTTCCAATCGTTCAATATATTTGACATTTAGGCCCATGGTGGTGATTGGTCAATGTGACACCGGTGCGGCAGGTTGGTTTGCGAGCCACCCCTACCACGCGAGACCGCGGCTAACAGAGCACACAAAACTTAATAAGTTATTACATTTCATCGTTAAACGGAGAATAATTGAGAAACAATACAAATGATAACAAGACCATACAAATTATATGATCCGGAATCGAATAGTGGCCTCGCAATGAGAGTAGTTGAGTTGCTGGGAAGGGAGTGGGGTGGAATGCCGGCCCCTTGTGAGCACCACAAGAAGCCGAGGGCAGAATAAGAGCACGATACTGCCGTCGGTAGCGTCAGCGCAACAGACTTCACGACCAAGACCACACCTCATAGGCTGTGATCGACTGCGAAGATTTCATAGCAATTGTTGTCAACAATCATCACTGGCAATAGTTTCCACAGAATGTTCCTGTGGTGCAACCGTAGCGGAGAAACTCGGCCGGCGCAGCTCTCTCCTCGCACACCTCCACACTCACATGCACCCCCACTAAATACGCACATGCACCCCCACTAAACACTCACACGCACCCCCACTAAACACACACATGCACCCCCACTAAACACACACATGCACCCCCACTAAACACTCACATGCACCCCACTAAACACACAAATGCACCCCCACTAAACACACACATGCACCCCCACTAAATACGCACACGCACCCCCACTAAACACACACATGCACCCCCACTAAACACACACATGCACCCCCACTAAACACTCACATGCACCCCCACTAAACACTCACACGCACCCCCACTAAACACACACATGCACCCCCACTAAACACACACATGCACCCCCACTAAACACTCACATGCACCCCACTAAACACACACATGCACCCCCACTAAACACACACACGCACCCCCACTAAACACGCACACGCACCTCCACTAAACACGCATACGCACCCCCACTAAACACTCACATGCACCCCCACTAAACACTCACATGCACCCCCACTAAACACGCACATGCACCCCCACTAAACACGCACATGCACCCCCACTAAACACGCACATGCACCCCCACTAAACACGCACACGCACCCCCACTAAACACTCACACGCACCCCCACTAAACACGCACATGCACCCCCACTAAACACTCGCATGCACCCCCACTAAACACGCACATGCACCCCCACTAAACACGCACACGCACCCCCACTAAACACGCACATGCACCCCCACTAAACACGCACACGCACCTCCACTAAACACGCACACGCACCCCCACTAAACACTCACATGCACCCCCACTAAACACTCACATGCACCCCCACTAAACACGCACATGCACCCCCACTAAACACGCACCCCCACTAAACACGCACACGCACCCCCACTAAACACGCACACGCACCCCCACTAAACACGCACATGCACCCCCACTAAACACGCACACGCACCCCCACTAAACACGCACATGCACCCCCACTAAACACGCACATTAACCTCCACTAAACACTCACATGCACACCACTAAACACGCACCCCCACTAAACACGCACACGCACCCCCACTAAACACGCACATTAACCTCCACTAAACACTCACATGCACCCCCACTAAACACTCACATGCACCCCCACTAAACACGCACACGCACCCCCACTAAACACGCACATTAACCTCCACTAAACACGCACACGCACCCCCACTAAACACTCACATGCACCCCCACTAAACACGCACACGCACCCCCACTAAACACTCACATGCACCCCCACTAAACACGCACATGCACCCCCACTAAACACTCACACGCACCCCCACTAAACACTCACATGCACCCCCATTAAACACGCACATTAACCCCCATTAAACACGCACATGCACCCCCACTAAACACTCACACGCACCCCCACTAAACACGCACATGCACCCCCACTAAACACTCACATGCACCCCCATTAAACACGCACATGCACCCCCACTAAACACTCACATGCGCCCCCACTAAACACGCGCATGCACCCCCACTAAACACTCACATGCACCCCCACTAAACACTCACATGCACCCCCATTAAACACTCACCCCCACTAAACACTCACATGCACCCCCACTAAACACTCACATGCACCCCCACTAAACACTCACATGCACCCCCATTAAACACTCACCCCCACTAAACACTCACATGCACCCCCACTAAACACTCACATGCACCCCCACTAAACACTCACATGCACCCCCACTAAACACACGCATGCACCCCCACTAAACACACGCACGTACCCCCACTAAACACTCACATGCACCCCCACTAAACACACGCACACCTCCACTAAACACTCACATGCACCCCCACTAAACACGCACCCCCACTAAACACGCACCCCCACTAAACACGCACATGCACCCCCACTAAACACGCACATTAACCTCCACTAAACACGCACATGCACCCCCACTAAACACTCACATGCACCCCCACTAAACACGCACATGCACCCCCACTAAACACGCACATGCACCCCCACTAAACACTCACATGCACCCCCACTAAACACGCACATGCACCCCATTAAACACGCACATGCACCCCCACTAAACACTCACATGCGCCCCCACTAAACACGCGCATGCACCCCCACTAAACACTCACATGCACCCCCATTAAACACTCACCCCCACTAAACACTCACATGCACCCCCACTAAACACTCACATGCACCCCCATTAAACACTCACCCCCACTAAACACTCACATGCACCCCCACTAAACACTCACATGCACCCCCATTAAACACACGCACACCTCCACTAAACACTCACATGCACCCCCACTAAACACACGCACACCTCCACTAAACACTCACGCACACCTCCACTAAACACTCACGCACACCTCCACTAAACACTCACATGCACCCCCACTAAACACTCACATGCACCCCACTAAACACACACATGCACCCCCACTAAACACACACATGCACCCCCACTAAATACGCACATGCACCCCCACTAAACACTCACACGCACCCCCACTAAACACACACATGCACCCCCACTAAACACGCACACGCACCTCCACTAAACACGCACACGCACCCCCACTAAACACTCACATGCACCCCCACTAAACACTCACATGCACCCCCACTAAACACGCACATGCACCCCCACTAAACACGCACACGCACCCCCACTAAACACGCACACGCACCCCCACTAAACACGCACATGCACCCCCACTAAACACGCACACGCACCCCCACTAAACACGCACACGCACCCCCACTAAACACGCACATTAACCTCCACTAAACACTCACATGCACCCCCACTAAACACTCACATGCACCCCCACTAAACACGCACACGCACCCCCACTAAACACGCACATTAACCTCCACTAAACACGCACACGCACCCCCACTAAACACTCACATGCACCCCCACTAAACACGCACACGCACCCCCACTAAACACTCACATGCACCCCCACTAAACACGCACATGCACCCCCACTAAACACTCACACGCACCCCCACTAAACACTCACATGCACCCCCATTAAACACGCACATTAACCCCCATTAAACACGCACATGCACCCCCACTAAACACTCACACGCACCCCCACTAAACACGCACATGCACCCCCACTAAACACTCACATGCACCCCCATTAAACACGCACATGCACCCCCACTAAACACTCACATGCGCCCCCACTAAACACTCACATGCGCCCCCACTAAACACGCGCATGCACCCCCACTAAACACTCACATGCCCCCCACTAAACACTCACATGCACCCCCATTAAACACTCACCCCCACTAAACACTCACATGCACCCCCACTAAACACTCACATGCACCCCCACTAAACACTCACATGCACCCCCATTAAACACTCACCCCCACTAAACACTCACATGCACCCCCACTAAACACTCACATGCACCCCCACTAAACACTCACATGCACCCCCACTAAACACACATGCACCCCCACTAAACACACGCATGCACCCCCACTAAACACACGCACGTACCCCCACTAAACACTCACATGCACCCCCACTAAACACACGCACACCTCCACTAAACACTCACATGCACCCCCACTAAACACGCACCCCCACTAAACACGCACATGCACCCCCACTAAACACGCACATTAACCTCCACTAAACACGCACATGCACCCCCACTAAACACTCACATGCACCCCCACTAAACACGCACATGCACCCCCACTAAACACGCACATGCACCCCCACTAAACACTCACATGCACCCCCACTAAACACGCACATGCACCCCATTAAACACGCACATGCACCCCCACTAAACACTCACATGCGCCCCCACTAAACACGCGCATGCACCCCCACTAAACACTCACATGCACCCCCATTAAACACTCACCCCCACTAAACACTCACATGCACCCCCACTAAACACTCACATGCACCCCCACTAAACACTCACATGCACCCCCATTAAACACACGCACACCTCCACTAAACACTCACATGCACCCCCACTAAACACACGCACACCTCCACTAAACACTCACGCACACCTCCACTAAACACTCACGCACACCTCCACTAAACACTCACATGCACCCCCACTAAACACTCACATGCACCCCACTAAACACACGCACACGTTTATTTCAGAATCCGAAAAAGTTCATTCCCCGAGTGAACTCCATTGAGCTGAGACCCGAAGAATTCCACAATCACACTCACTAATCCACAAAGACAAAGACCCCCCCCCCCGTATAGCCTTAACAGACTGTTGGGGCAAGTGTTGTTAGCGAGCACCTCTGAAGGTCAGCACGGCACATGAGGGGGTGGGTGGTCAGCACCACGCCCGGCCGGGGGTGGGGGACGTTGCGTGAGTGCGCAGAGTCATTAATTAGATCCCGACAGCTGTGAGCGGAGATTTAAAGTGTTACGTGATCGGCGCGGTTCGCGAGTGCAGGCGCGCTTGTTGTGGGGGGCACGCGTGTTGTGGGGGGCACGCGTGTTGTGGGGGGCGCACGTGTTGTGGGGGGCACGCGTGTAGTGGGGGGCGCGCGTGTTGTGGGGGGCGCGTGTTGTGGGGGGCGCACGTGTTGTGGGGGGCGCACGTGTTGTGGGGGGCGCACGCGCAATAACCCTCTAGGCGGTGTCTGACAGGCGCTGGTGCGGGGGGGGCGGTCCCCCCCCGATCGGCGGGGGCCCGGGGGGCCCAGCGAGACGCGGCCGAGGAGGGGGCCGGGTGGAGGGGGCGGACTTCGCGCCCCGCCCGCTCGCGGGGAGGGGGCATCAGCCTCCACAGCTGTGTCGGGTGGTGGTGGCGGGGTTAACGACACATTTAGATGTTTACGCGATCTATCCCAAAAGGCCTGTACCATGGACGACATTGGTCGCGAAAGCGTTAAACTCTCAAGACATTCGCCCTCTCACGACCCGGCTCTCGTTATCTCGGTCTGACGTCATCGGTGCCCAACGCCAGTGAGGAGGTGTCCCCCGCTCGTGACGCATTGTAACCACGTGTCTCCGCGTGACGTCACTCCTGCTTCTTTCCTAAACCTTATTTGTGCATAGACACGCCAAAATCTAAAGTATAAACTTCATAGTATCATCAGTATACTAAATATACTCTCCAATAAGCTAAGCTACTAACAGTAAGTAATACATTACAACTCTATGTCGCAAAAAATATAATATGCTTCCAGATAAACTTTTTTCCCTTACATCACACAGGTCTACCTCGTACTATATGCTGCCATAGACAAACCCAACATTAAATTATATACTGTATTACTATACACCACCCTATACCTTAGAATAATACATAGTGTAATATTACACTATGTATTATTCTATTCACCCTACTGTATTTCACACTGCTGTATATTCACTATACAATTACGATACTATATATTGCCTTATACATTGTATTAAACATTACAATTTTATACTATTTATTATACAATCTGCTATACACTATACCATTGACCGTCGAGTGAAAGATACTAAGAGGAAGCAAAATGAAACACCACCATGCTTGGAGCGTATATTTAAGCTGGGTTGGATGGGGGGAAGGGCGCCTTGACAAAATTATTATCATATCAAGAGGAATTTAGCATATTTATGGGAAATGCAGGTATGTGATTAGTACTACTTGTGAAATGCGTAGGAGGTGGACGGGGGGTTTTCAAAGTCATTATGCCCGTGCATTATGCAGGATTAGCAGCATCAAAGGGAGGGGATATGGGTAGCATTAATAAAGGGTAGGAATGTTAATAGTATGTAGCTGCAGTAACTAAACAACCACGTAAAAAAGCTAAAGTATAAACTTCATAGTATCATAAGTATACTAAATATACTCTCCAATAAGCTGAGCTACTAACAGTAAGTAATACATTACAATTCTATGTCGCAAAAAAATATAATATGCTTCCAGCTAAACTTTTTTCCTTACATCACACGGGAGGCAGCTGTAGACTAACAGTGACACTCACGTAGAGAGAGACACAGCGAGACAGGCAGCTGTAGACTAACAGTGACACTCACGTAGAGAGAGACACAGCGAGAAAGGCAGCTGTAGACTAACAGTGACACTCACGTAGAGAGAGACACAGCGAGACAGGCAGCTGTAGACTAACAGTGACACTCACGTAGAGAGAGACACAGCGAGACAGGCAGCTGTAGACTAACAGTGACACTCACGTAGAGAGAGACACAGCGAGACAGGAGGCAGCTGTAGACTAACAGTGACACTCACGTAGAGAGAGACACAGCGAGACAGGAGGCAGCTGTAGACTAACAGTGACACTCACGTAGAGAGAGACACAGCGAGACAGGCAGCTGTAGACTAACAGTGACACTACGTAGAGAGAGACACAGCGAGACAGGAGACAGCTGTAGACTAACAGTGACACTACGTAGAGAGAGACACAGCGAGACAGGAGACAGCTGTAGACTAACAGTGACACTCACGTAGAGAGAGACACAGCGAGACAGGAGGCAGCTGTAGACTAACAGTGACACTCACGTAGAGAGAGACACAGCGAGAAAGGCAGCTGTAGACTAACAGTGACACTACGTAGAGAGAGACACAGCGAGACAGGAGACAGCTGTAGACTAACAGTGACACTCACGTAGAGAGAGACACAGCGAGACAGGCAGCTGTAGACTAACAGTGACACTACGTAGAGAGAGACACAGCGAGACAGGTAGCTGTAGACTAACAGTGACACTCACGTAGAGAGAGACACAGCGAGACAGGAGGCAGCTGTAGACTAACAGTGACACTCACGAAGTGAGAGGCACAGCGAGACAGGAGACAGCTGTAGACTAACAGTGACACTACGTAGAGAGACACAGCGAGACAGGAGACAGCTGTAGACTAACAGTGACACTACGTAGAGAGAGACACAGCGAGACAGGAGGCAGCTGTAGACTAACAGTGACACTACGTAGAGAGAGACACAGCGAGACAGGAGACAGCTGTAGACTAACAGTGACACTCACGTAGAGAGAGACACAGCGAGACAGGCAGCTGTAGACTAACAGTGACACTCACGTAGAGAGAGACACAGCGAGACAGGAGACAGCTGTAGACTAACAGTGACACTACGTAGAGAGAGACACAGCGAGACAGGAGACAGCTGTAGACTAACAGTGACACTACGTAGAGAGAGACTCAGCGAGACAGGAGGCAGCTGTAGACTAACAGTGACACTCACGTAGAGAGAGACTCAGCGAGACAGGAGACAGCTGTAGACTAACAGTGACACTACGTAGAGAGAGACACAGCGAGACAGGAGGCAGCTGTAGACTAACAGTGACACTCACGTAGAGAGAGACACAGCGAGACAGGAGACAGCTGTAGACTAACAGTGACACTACGTACAGAGAGACACAGCGAGACAGGAGGCAGCTGTAGACTAACAGTGACACTCACGTACAGAGAGACACAGCGAGACAGGAGGCAGCTGTAGACTAACAGTGACACTCACGTACAGAGAGACACAGCGAGACAGGAGACAGCTGTAGACTAACAGTGACACTACGTAGAGAGAGACACAGCGAAACAGGAGGCAGCTGTAGACTAACAGTGACACTCACGTAGAGAGAGACACAGCGAGACAGGAGACAGCTGTAGACTAACAGTGACACTACGTACAGAGAGACACAGCGAGACAGGAGGCAGCTGTAGACTAACAGTGACACTCACGTACAGAGAGACACAGCGAGACAGGAGACAGCTGTAGACTAACAGTGACACTACGTAGAGAGAGACACAGCGAAACAGGAGACAGCTGTAGACTAACAGTGACACTACGTAGAGAGAGACACAGCGAGACAGGAGGCAGCTGTAGACTAACAGTGACACTACGTAGAGAGAGACACAGCGAGACAGGCAGCTGTAGACTAACAGTGACACTCACGTAGAGAGAGACACAGCGAGACAGGAGGCAGCTGTAGACTAACAGTGACACTCACGTAGAGAGAGACACAGCGAGACAGGAGGCAGCTGTAGACTAACAGTGACACTCACGTAGAAAGAGACACAGCGAGACAGGAGACAGCTGTCTCGACGGTCAATGGTATAGTGTATAGTAGATTGTATAATAAAAAATAGTGTAAAATTGTAATGTTTAATACAATGTATAAGGCAATATATAGTATCGTAATTGTATAGTGAATATACAGCAGTGTGATATACAGTAGGGTGGATAGAATAATACATAGTGTAATATTACACTATGTATTACTCTAAGGTATAGGGTGGTGTATAGTAATACAGTATATAATTTAACGCTGGGTTTGTCTATGGCAGCACATAGTACGTACGGGGTGAGTGTGAAATGGACTCGAACCTGCACCTCGGCATTGCAAGTGCAGTGAGCTGACGCCCCCCGCGTGTGGAGGGTAAAGTTGTGGGTACACCCACCTCGCTCCAACGGGTCTGGACCAGCGTGGAAGAGTAGACCAAATACTCCACATCGCGGCCTCTAGTGGAGGCCATTTGCTGCCACGACAACTCCGTCCCTCCAGATACAAAATAACTAAATGTAACTCATCCCATCAGCCACAATCTGGCAGTGCCTCTCCTCATCATCATCATCAGCAGCAGGCCGCGCTCTGCTTGGAGCAGCGCCGTGAACTCAGCAGGCGCCCAGAACGTAACGGCTGTGAGCCAGGCGCCTCCTCTGCCTCCCCTCTCCACCACCGCCACTGCTGATGTGTCCACACCGTGCAAGGTTCTCACCTTCTTCGGGCTGAGTCGATGTAGAGGAGGACCAGCCAGCGAGACGCCGCGTCAGCAGTTCGCGAGCCACCGACGGTGGCCGTGAGCGGGAATCCAAATCAGCCGCTCGCCACCCACAATGCACAGCGCTGCCTCCACTCGCCCCGGCCTCAGCGGGGGGAGGGGCGGGGGAGAGGGGGCGGGCCGAGGGGGGTGAAGAGGTGGGGCCAGGGGGTGGGCATGGGGGCTCGGGTGAGGGGCTCAGAGAGGGGTGAGTGGTGAGTGGTGAGGGTTAGTGGTGAGCGTGAGTGGTGAGGGTGAGTGGTGAGTAGTGAAGGTGAGTGGTGAGGGAGAGGGGTGAGGGTGAGTGGTGAGAGTGAGTGGTGAGGGGTCTGTGGTGAGGGGTCTGTGGTGAGTGTGAGTGGTGAGTGATGAGTGGTGAGGTGGTGAGTGGTGAGGTGGTGAGTGTGAGTGGTGAGGGTGAGTGGTGAGAGGTGAGTGGAGAGGGTGAGTGGCGAGGGTCAGTGGTGAGTGGTGAGGGTGAGTGAGTGGTGAGGGTGAGTGGTGGTGGTGAGGGTGAGTGGTGAGGGTGAGTGTTGGTGGTGAGGGTGAGTAGTGAGAGTGAGTGGTGATGGGTGAGTGGTGAGGGTGAGTGGTGAGTGGTTGTTGTGAGGTTGAGTGGTGAGGGTGAGTGGTGAGAGTGAGTGGTGAGGGTGAGTGGTGAGAGGTGAGTGGTGATTGGTGAGGGTGAGTGGTGAGTGGTTGTGAGGGTGAGTGGTGAGGGTGAGTGGTGAGGGAGAGGGGTGAGCGGTGGGGGTGAGTGGTGAGCGTGAGTGGTGAGCATGAGAGTGAGTGGTGAGGGTGAGTGGTGAGGGTGAGTAGTGAGGATGATTGGTGAGGGAGAGGGGTGAGGGTGAGTGGTGAGGGAGAGGGGTGAGGGAGAGGGGTGAGTGGTGAGTGGGGAGGGTTAGTGGTGAGGGTGAGTGGTGAGGGTGAGTGGTGAGGGAGAGGGGTGAGTGGTGGGGGTGAGTGGTGAGGGTTAGTGGTGAGGGTGAGTGGTGAGAGTGAGTGGTGAGGGTGAGTGGTGAGAGGTGAGTGGTGATTGGTGAGGGTGAGTGGTGAGTGGTTGTGAGGGTGAGTGGTGAGCGTGAGTGGTGAGGGAGAGGGGTGAGTGGTGGGGGTGAGTGGTGAGGGTGAGTGGTGAGCGTGAGTGGTGAGCATGAGAGTGAGTGGTGAGGGTGAGTTGTGAGGGTGAGTAGTGAGGATGATTGGTGAGGGTGAGTGGTGAGCGTGAGTGGTGAGGGAGAGGGGTGAGTGGTGAGGGTGAGTGGTGAGGGAGAGGGGTGAGTGGTGAGAGTGAGTGGTGAGGGTGAGTGTGAGTGGTGAGGGGTCTGTGGTGAGTGTGAGTGGTGAGGGGTCTGTGGTGAGTGTGAGTGGTGAGTGATGAGTGGTGAGGTGGTGAGTGTGAGTGGTGAGGGTGAGTGGTGAGGGTGAGTGGTGAGAGTGAGTGGTGAGGGTGAGTGGTGAGAGTGAGTGGTTAGGGTGAGTGGTGAGGGTGAGTGGTGAGTGTTGGTGGTGAGGGTGAGTAGTGAGAGTGAGTGGTGAGGGTGCGTGGTGAGAGGTGAGTAGTGATTGGTGAGGGTGAGTGGTGAGGGTGAGTGGTTGTGGTGAGGGTGAGTGGTGAGGGTGAGTGGTGAGAGTGAGTGGTGAGTGGTTAGAGGTGAGTGGTGATTGGTGAGGGTGAGTGGTGAGTGGTTGTTGTGAGGGTGATTGGTGAGGGTGAGTGGTGAGGGTGAGTGGTGAGAGTGAGGGTGAGTGGTGAGGGTGAGTGGTGACGGAGAGGGGTGAGTGGTGAGGGTGAGTGGTGAAGGAGAGGGTGAGTGGTGAGTGGTGAGGGTGAGTGGTGAGCGTGAGTGGTGAGGGTAAGTGTGAGTGGTGAGGGTGAGTGGTGAGGGTCAGGGTGAGTGGTGAGCGTGAGTGGTGAGGGAGAGGGGTGAGTGGTGAGGGTGAGTGGTGAGAGTCAGGGTGAGTGGTGATCGTGAGTGGTGATGGAGAGGGGTGAGTGGTGAGGGTGAGTGTTGAGGGAGAGGGGTGAGTGTGAGTGGTGAGAGTGAGTGGTGAGGGTGAGTTGTAAGGGGTGAGTGGTGAGGGTGAGTGGTGACGGAGAGGGGTGAGTGGTGAGGGTGAGTGGTGAAGGAGAGGGGTGAGTGGTGAGTGGTGAGGGTGAGTGTGAGTGGTGAGAGTGAGTGGTGAGGGTGAGTGGTGAGTAGTGAGGATGATTGGTGAGGGAGAGTGGTGAGGGTGAGTGGTGAGGGTGAGTGGTGAGTGGTGAGCGTGAGTGGTGAGGGAGAGGGGTGAGTGGTGACGGTGATTAGTGAATAGTGAGGGTGAGAGGTAAGGGTGAGTGGTGAGGGTGAGTGGTGAGTAGTGAGGGTGAGTGGTGAGTAGTGAGGGTGAGTGTGAGTGGTGAGGGTGAGTGGTGAGGGAGAGGGGTGAGTGGTGAGGGTGAGTGGTGAGGGTGAGTGGTGAGATTCAGGGTGAGTGATGAGCGTGAGTGGTGACGGAGAGGGGTGAGTGGTGAGGGTGAGTGTTGAGGGAGAGGGGTGAGTGTGAGTGGTGAGAGTGAGTGGTGAGGTTGAGTTGTGAGGGGTGAGTGGTGAGGGTGAGTGGTGACGGAGAGGGGTGAGTGGTGAGGGTAAGTGGTGAAGGAGAGGGGTGAGTGGTGAGTGGTGAGGGTGAGTGGTGAGCGTGAGTGGTGAGAGTGAGTGGTGAGGGTGAGTGCTGAGTAGTGAGGATGATTGGTGAGGGAGATTGGTGAGGGTGAGTGTGAGTGGTGAGGGTGAGTGGTGAGCGTGAGTGGTGAGGGAGAGTGGTGAGGGTGATTAGTGAATATTGAGGGTGAGTGGTAAGGGTGAGTGGTGAGGGTGAGTGGTGAGTAGTGAGAGTGAGTGGTGAGTAGTGAGGGTGAGTGGTGAGGGGTGAGGGTGAGTTGTGAGGGTGAGTGGTGAGGGTGAGTGGTGAGGATCATTGGTGAGTGGTGAGGGTGAGTGGTGAGTAGTGAGGGTGAGTGGTGAGGGAGAGGGGTGAGTGGTGAGTGTTGAGGGTGAGTGGTGAGAGTGAGTGGTGAGTGGTGAGGGTGAGTGTGAGTGGTGAGGGGTCTGTGGTGAGTGTGAGTGGTGAGGGGTCTGTGGTGAGTGTGAGTGGTGAGGTGGTGAGTGTGAGTGGTGAGAGGTGAGCGTGAGTGGTGAGCGTGAGTGGTGAGCGTGAGTGGTGAGAGTGAGTGGTGAGCGGTGAGAGTGAGTGGTGAGGGTGAGTGGTGAGTGTCAGTGGTGAGTGGTGAGAGGTGAGTGGTGAGGGTGAGTGTTGAGGGTGAGTGAGTGGTGAGGGTGAGTGGTGAGGGTGAGTGTTGGTGGTGAGGGTGAGTAGTGAGAGTGAGTGGCGAGGGTGAGTGGTGAGAGGTGAGTGGTGATTGGTGAGGGTGAGTGGTGAGGGTGAGTGGTGAGGGTCAGTGGTGAGTGGTGAGTGGTGAGAGGTGAGTGGTGAAGGTGAGTGTTGAGGGTGAGTGAGTGGTGAGGGTGAGTGAGTGGTGAGGGTGAGTGGTGAGGTTGAGTGTTGGATGGTGAGGGTGAGTAGTGAGAGTGAGTGGTGAGGGTGAGTGGTGAGAGGTGAGTGGTGATTTGTGAGTGGTGAGGGTGAGTGGTTGTTGTGAGGGTGAGTAGCGAGGGTGAGTGGTGGTGAGTGGTGAGTGATAGTGAGTGTTGAGTGGTGAGCGGTGAGGGTGAGTGAGGGAGAGTGGAGAGGGAAAGTGGTGAGGGTGTATATATTTTTGCCTATGATGACAGCGGTACATGCTGATGTTATGTATGTTAAATGTAAAAGGTAAATGTGTGAATGTGTGTGTCTGTTCGAAATGTTAAGCATACAGTACTTGGCGACATGCAGTTTTTAAAACGGAAATAGGGCGATTCTAAAGTAATCTCTTATCATCCGTAGCGTGCTGTTGCAGCGTTAACAGCACACGCCGTGAGGGTGTCGGCGCAAGAGATACGTTGACGAGCGTGTATTCCGCGGCTGCAGCTTGATTAATGAGTTCTGAACCGGAGTGGTGAGGTAATCAGTGTCCACGCAGTGTTGATGCAACGGGTTGAAGCCCTGCCAGCAAGAAGCAACGATTAATTAATTGCTCCCGAACGGCTGCGACGGCCAATAAAACAATATTACGTAATTCAATTACGTGGTGCTGCTGGCGGTGATCGCCGTGTGTGTAGTGCTGCGCCGCGAGGTGCGCGGGCACACACGTGGCTATTCACACCGCGATTGTTGCAGTTATTGTGGTGATGGTGGTTATTGTGATTAGTTGTACGGCCAGTGGGCTCGTGCATCCTCACACCGATATTTTTAGCGCGTGCACGCGGAGGGCCAATAGGCGCGGGTGGCTGCAAGCATCCGAGGGTGGGCAGCGGCGCGCACGGACACGCATGTGCCAGGAGTCTCATCCGAGCATTTGGGGAGAATGCACGCGGGGAGTGTGGGTGAATGACCCGCGGTGGCCGAGAGCCAGCCAAGAGTGATGTTTCACAGAGGGGACGCGGCAGCACATGTGGTCTGTCCTGCGACATCAAAGTTTTGAGAGCCTTCGATCCGTCACGGGCACCGCGGTGACGTCACCACCACCAGCTCCACCCGGATACCCCCCCCCCCCAGCTCCAACCGCCTCCACCTCCCATCCCCGGCTCCACTCGGCCCCACCCCCACCCCCAGCCCATCCCGGCTCCAATCCCCACCCCTCCCTCCCAGCTCTACGCAGCTCCACCCAGCCCCATCCAGCTCCACCACCTCTCCAGCTCCACCACCTCTCCAGCTCCACCACCTCTCCAGCTCCACCACCTCTCCAGCTCCACCACCTCTCCAGCTCCACCACCTCTCCAGCTCTAACCGGCACCCCCCCCCCCTCACTGCTCCATCCAGATCCACATCCCCCGGGCTGCACCCTTCCCCCCCGGGTCCACCCAGCGCCACCCTCCCCACCCTGGCTCCACCCGGCTCCAGCGTCCCCCCTTCGCTCAACCCGACTCCACCTATTCCCACCCTTCCTGGCTCTACCCAGCTCCACCCCCTTCCTGGGCTCCACCTATCTCCAACCGCCCCCCCCCACCAGCTACACCCGACACCACCCCCTCCCAACTCCACCTGGCTCCACCCCCAGCACCAACTGGCTCCACACCCACCACCCCCCCGACTCCATCTGGTTCTACCCCCCCCCCCCCCCGAGTTTTATCTGGCACCAGCCCCCACCCTGAGCTCCAACTGGCCTCACCCACCCACGGGACCACATGCCCCCCCCCCCACCAGATACACCCCCCCCAACCCGGGCACAACCCGGCTCCACCCTCCGCCCTGGCTTCACCCTGCTCTGCCCTCCTTTCCCGGCGCCACCCGGCTCCACCATCCCCCCCTGGCTCAACCCGACTCAACCTCCCGCCCGTACCCCCCCCCCCCGCCCCTTTCTGCAGCCAGCTCTACCGCCCCCAGCCCCACCTGGCTCCACCACCCGGTTGCACCCCCCCCCCCCGGCTCTATCCGGCTCTATGCCCCCCCCAGCTCTACCCTGCTCCACCCCCCTCCCAGCTCCACTTGGCTCCACCCCCAGCTCCATCCGGCTCCACAACCCCCCGGCTCCACCTGGTTCTAACCACCCTGGTTCCATCTGGCTCCACACCACTCCCAACTCCACCTGGCTCCACCCCCCACCCCAGCTCCACCTGGCTCGACTCCCCACCCCAGCTCCATCCGGCCCCACCCCCTTACCCGGCTCCACCCGACAACACCCCTCCTGCTTCACCCGACTCCACCCCTCTCCCAGCTCCACCCGGCTCCACCCCCCTCCCAGCTCCACCCGCCCCCATTCCATCCAGCCCCACCCCTGCCGCCACCCTTCCCCCCCGGCTCCATCCTTCCCCCCCGGCTCTAACCAGCGCCACCCTCTCCACCCCAGCTCCACCCGGCTCCACCCTCCTTTCCCCCCAGCTACACCCGGATACATCACCCTCCCGGCTCCACCTCCCACCCCCCTTGGTCCACCCGGCCAACCCCCCCCCCCCGTTCACCCGGCTCCGCCCCCCCCACATCAGAAAGTAACAGTCATAGCGATTGTCTGAAACGGTCCTGTGCCTCTCCCCCATTGACTCAGCCTCAAGTGAGTACCTTGTGCGGTGTAATGAGCATCGCCCCTGGGGAAACAAAGACGGCTGGCCGTGGTGCTAGCTCCCCAGCCCCACGTGTGCCACAGTGCCGGCCTTCAAAGGTTATTCTACTCGTTATAACACTACTTTCCCCGACAGCCCTGCTAGAGGCTGCCCGCGGGAGCTTTGTCTTTGGTTGGATAGGGGGTGTGACGAAATATATCTGGGAGGGGTTACTGAGGAGACGTCACCCTGGAGCCCTTCGCTCATTGAGCACCGCCCCCCCCACGCCCCTCCCTTATTGCCCCCCCCCCCCCACCGGGCCCTCGCCCCTCCCTTATTGTGCCACCCCCCCCCCCACCGGGCCCTCGCCCCTCCCTTATTGTGCCCCCCCCCCCCACCGGGCCCTCGCCCCTCCCTTATTGTGCCCCCCCCCCCCCACCGGGCCCTCGCCCCTCCCTTATTGTGCCCCCCCCCCCTACCGGGCCCACGCCCCTCCCTTATTGCCCCCCCCCCCCACCGGGCCCACGCCCCTCCCTTATTGTGCCCCCCCCCCCACCGGGCCCTCGCCCCTCCCTTATTGCCCCCCCCCCCCCACCGGGCCCACGCCCCTCCCTTATTGTGCCCCCCCCCCTACCGGGCCCTCGCCCCTCCCTTATTGCCCCCCCCCCCACCGGGCCCTCGCCCCTCCCTTATTGTGCCCCCCCCCCCCCACCGGGCCCTCGCCCCTCCCTTATTGCCCCCCCCCCCACCGGGCCCTCGCCCCTCCCTTATTGCCCCCCCCCCACCGGGCCCTCGCCCCTCCTCCAGTCCGCCCACTCCCCCATCGCCCGGAAGTGAGGTCGCTGGGCGCGAGACGGCGACGGAAGCTCCGCGAGGAGACGGCGGCGGACGGAGAGCGGCGGTTCTGGTGAGTTCAGTGGGGTGAGTTGGTGGTAAGTGGATGTAGTGGTGAGTGGTGTGGGTGAGTGATGGTGAGTCTAGATCGGTGGTGAGTAGTGTATAGTGTGTGTATTGTATACGTGTGTGGTAAGTTTAGTGGCGAGTGGGTGGAGTGGTGAGTGCAGTGTGTGTGGGGTGAGTGGGTGATTGGGTGAGTAGTGCACAGTGTCGTGTGTATGTGTACCGTATACATGTGTGGTTAGTGGGGTAATTGTGTGGTATGTGGTGGTGAGTATGGTGGTGAGTAGTGTATAGTGTGTGTAACTGTGTGTGTACTGTATATAGTGGTGAGCGATAGCATAACGGTTAGCGCTAGGCCCCGGCAAGGTAAGGTAATTTACCCTTTTTACCGAACCCTGCGACCCGAGTTCGATTCCCGCTCACGGCCAACACCTGTGACGATTATCTAAACCGGTCCTGGGCATCCCCTAAGTCGACTCAACCTCAATTGATTACCTGGTACGGTGTGTAAACATCGCCACTGGGGAGACAAAGGCGGCCGTGCGTGGTGCTGGCTACCCACCCCCTCGTGAACCGTGCGGCCTTCATAGGTGCTGCTACTCGCTAACAGCACTTTCCCCAACAGTCTGTTAAGGCTACACGGGGGTGTCTTTGTTATTATCCATATATATCTGTGTGTGGTGAGGGTGGTGCGGGTGGTGATGATTGTGGCGGGTGAGTGTGTTGCGGGTGAGAGTGTGCTGGTGAGTGGTGTGATGGTGAGTGTAATGTGATGAGTGGGTGAGTGTGTTGCGGGTGAGAGTGTGGTGGTGAGTGGTGTGATGGTGAGTGTAATGTGATGAGTGGGTGAGTGTGTTGCGGGTGAGTGGTGTGATGGTGAGTGTAATGTGATGAGTGGGTGAGTGTGTTGCGGGTGAGAGTGTGGTGGTGAGTGGTGTGATGGTGAGTGTAATGTGATGAGTGGGTGAGTGTGTTGCGGGTGAGTGGTGTGATGGTGAGTGTAATGTGATGAGTGGGTGAGTGTGTTGCGGGTGAGAGTGTGGTGGTGAGTGGTGTGATGGTGAGTGTAATGTGATGAGTGGGTGAGTGTGTTGCGGGTGAGAGTGTGCTGGTGAGTGGTGTGATGGTGAGTGTAATGTGATGAGTGGGTGAGTGTGTTGCGGGTGAGTGGTGTGATGGTGAGTGTAATGTGATGAGTGGGTGAGTGTGTTGCGGGTGAGAGTGTGGTGGTGAGTGGTGTGATGGTGAGTGTAATGTGATGAGTGGGTGAGTGTGTTGCGGGTGAGTGGTGTGATGGTGAGTGTAATGTGATGAGTGGGTGAGTGTGTTGCGGGTGAGAGTGTGGTGGTGAGTGGTGTGATGGTGAGTGTAATGTGATGAGTGGGTGAGTGTGTTGCGGGTGCGAGTGTGCTGGTGAGTGGTGTGATGGTGAGTGTAATGTGATGAGTGGGTGAGTGTGTTGCGGGTGAGTGGTGTGATGGTGAGTGTAATGTGATGAGTGGGTGAGTGTGTTGCGGGTGAGAGTGTGGTGGTGAGTGGTGTGATGGTGAGTGTAATGTGATGAGTGGGTGAGTGTGTTGCGGGTGAGTGGTGTGATGGTGAGTGTAATGTGATGAGTGGGTGAGTGTGTTGCGGGTGAGAGTGTGGTGGTGAGTGGTGTGATGGTGAGTGTAATGTGATGAGTGGGTGAGTGTGTTGCGGGTGAGAGTGTGGTGGTGAGTGGTGTGATGGTGAGTGTAATGTGATGAGTGGGTGAGTGTGTTGCGGGTGAGAGTGTGCTGGTGAGTGGTGTGATGGTGAGTGTAATGTGATGAGTGGGTGAGTGTGTTGCGGGTGAGAGTGTGCTGGTGAGTGGTGTGATGGTGAGTGTAATGTGATGAGTGGGTGAGTGGTGTGATGGTGAGTGTAATGTGATGAGTGGGTGAGTGGTGTGATGGTGAGTGTAATGTGATGAGTGGGTGAGTGTGTTGCGGGTGAGAGTGTGCTGGTGAGTGGTGTGATGGTGAGTGTAATGTGATGAGTGGGTGAGTGTGTTGCTGGTGAGTGGTGTGGTGGTGAGTGGTGTGATGGTGAGTGTAATGTGATGAGTGGGTGGGTAGTGCATGGTGTGTAGTGATGTGTTGTTCAGTAGGGAGCAGTGGTGCAGCGGTTAGCGTGCTTCACGAACCCCTAGGTCGACTCAGCCTTAAATTAGTACCTAGTGCAGTGGTGTGTAGTAAATATCGCCACTGGGGAGACAACGGCAGACAGGTGGGCCGTGGAGCTTTGAATTTGTCCTTATAGAGTGAGTGGATGAGTGAGGGGGTGAGTGGGTGGATGGGTAGATGAATGAGTGATCTCGTGCACCTAGCCTGGCACAGCACCTATGGTCTGTCCCGTGAGTGAGTGGCGAGTGGGTGAGTGAGTGTGGGAGTGTGTGTGTGTGTGGAGTGTTGAGTGTAGTGTGGTGGTGAGTTGAGTATGGTGTGTGTGAGCTGAGTGGGTGATTAGGTGGGTGAGTAGTGTGCAGTATAGTGTGTGTATGTCTACCGTATATAGAGTGAGGGAAACAAGTATAACCCGTAAAAACAAAGTTTTTCACTATAAATCCTTTATATGCGTGGCGACTAGAGTCATCTCGTCCTCTGGCTTGAGATGGCTGCCACCTATGGGTCAGATAATTGCATGACAGCATTAAGCAATTGGTAATTAAATATAATATTTTTGTCCTTAAAAGTGTAAAATTGTGGAATTTTTTTTTCACGAACATTAATTGTCACGCACAACGAGTCTGTGTGGAAAATGTCAGCTCGATTGGATCACGGGAAGTGGGTTAAAAAACGACCGAAAGATTTGCACGGTCCTAAGCAAGCAAGCAAGTGAACTTAATATAAAGGATTTAAAAAGTATTTGATCCCCTGCTGATTTTGTACGTTTGCCCACTGACAAAGAAATTATTAGTCTTATTTTAATGGTAGGTTTATTTGAACAGTGAGAGACAGAATAACAACAACAAATCCAGAAAAACGAATGTCAAAAATGTTATAAATTGATTTGCATTTTAATGAGGGAAATAAGTATTTGACCCCTCTGCAAAACATAACTTATTACTTGGTGGCAAACCCCTTGTTGGCAATCACAGAGGTCAGACGTTTCTTGTAGTTGGCCACCAGGTTTGCACATATCTCAGGAGAGATTTTGTCCCACTCCTCTTTGCAGATCTTCTCCAAGTCATTAAGGTTTCGAGGCTGACGTTTGCAACTCGAACCTTCAGCTCCCTCCACAGATTTTCTATGGGATTAAGGTCTGGAGACTGGCTAGGACACTCCAGGACCTTAATGTGCTTCTTCTTGAGTCACTCGTTTGTTGCCTTGGCCGTGTGTTTTGGGTCATTGTAATGCTAGAATACCCATCCACAACCCATTTTCAATGCCCTGGCTGAGGGAAGGAGGTTCTCACCCAAGATTTGACGGTACATGGCCCCGTCCATCGTCCACTTGATGCGGTGAAGTTGTCCTTGTCCCCTTAGCAGAAAAACACCCCCAAAGCATAATGTTGACGGTGGGGATGGTGTTCTTGGGGTCATAGGCAGCATTCCTCCTCCAAACACGGCGAGTTGAGTTGATGCCAAAGAGCTACATTTTGGTATCATCTGACCACAACACTTTCACCCAGTTGTCCTCTGAATCATTCAGATGTTCATTGGCAAACTTCAGATGGGCATGTATATGTGCTTTCTTGAGCAGGGGGACCTTGCGGGCACTGCAGGATTTCAGTCCTTCACGGTGTAGTGTGTTACCAACTGTTTTCTTGGTGACTTTGGTTCCAGCTGCCTTGAGATCATTGACAGGATCCTCCCGTGTAGTTCTGGGCTGATTCCTCACCGTTCTCATGATCATTGCAACTCCACGATGTGAGATCTTGCATGGAGCCCCATGCCGAGGGAGATTGACAGTTCTTTTGTGTTTCTTCCATTTGCGAATAATCGCACCAACTGTTGTCACCTTCTCACCAAGCTGCTTGGCGATGGTCTTGTAGCCCATTCCAGCCTTTGTGTAGGTCTACAATCTTGCCCCTAACATCCTTGGAGAGCTCTTTGGTCTTGGCCATGGTGGAGAGTTTGGAATCTGATTGATTGATTGCTTCTGTGAACAGGTGTCTTTTATACAGGTAACAAGCTGAGATTAGGAGCACTCCCTTTAAGAGTGTGCTCCTAATCTCAGTTTGTTACCTGTATAAAAGACACCTGGGAGCCAGAAATCTTTCTGATTGAGAGGGGGTCAAATACTTATTTCCCTCATTAAAATGCACATCAATTTATAACATTTTTGACATGCGTTTTTCTGGATTTTGTTGTTATTCTGTCTCTCACTGTTAAAATAAACCTATCATTAAAATTATAGACTGATCATTTCTTTGTCAGTGGGCAAACGTACAAAATCAGCAGGGGATCAATTTATTTTTTCCCTCACTGTAGCTGTGTGATGAGTGGAGTGAGTCAGTGAGTATGTGGTGGTGAATAGTGTATAGTGTGTGTACTGTATATAGTTCGATTCCCGCTCACAGCCAACACCAGTTACAATTATTTGAACCGGTCCTAGGCCTCCCTAGTTCGACTGTGTGGTGAGTGGGTAAGTGAGTGGGTCGGTGAATGGGTGAGTGGGTTAGTGAGCGCATGGGTGAGTGGGTGGATGGGTACGTAAGTGGATGGGTGGCTGAGTGAGTGAGCAAGTGACCTGCTGCACAAAGCCTGGCACAGCTGTACTCGCGACCTCCCAGTTATGAGAGCCATTGAGCCTGTCACGGGCACCGCGGTGACGTTACCACCACTGAGCGTTTAATGCTACTGTTGCTGTTGTTGTGTTTGCAGCCCTACAAAAAGAGACCCGAGTTCATTCCCGCTCACGACCAACCAACAACACGACCAACAGTGACAACCATCCAAATCGGCTCCTGTAATCCCTCCCTAGGTTTACTCGGCCTTAAATTAGTAACTGGTGTAGCGGCGGTGTATAGGAGTAGTAGTAGACATCGCCACGCAGGAGAAGTAGGGATACAAAGGTGGCCAGGTGGGCGTGTGTTGCTGGTCACACACCCACACCACTCTTCGTGTACCACAGTATCAGCTGTTATAGATGCTGCTTCTACTACCAACTAACTAACCAACAATGCACTTGCCCGGACAGCCCTGCTAGAGACTACGCAGGGGAGTTTTGTCAGCCTTCGGTCTTCTCTACGAAGGAGCTATAAACTATCATCACAAAAACTCCGGTCATTCTCGCTGCAGCAGCGGCTTTTGGCTAGCCGTCGACAAAAGACGGTCACCTCATCGCACGGTGCTTTCACATGCACTTCTGCGGCCGTCTGGAACGCTCTTCCGATGTTAGGAAGCCACTGGAGCTACGCAACTTTTACATCATCTAGATTGACAAACTCATTTCTTTAGAACTGCTTTTTGTGTTTAATTGTCCATCCCTCCACACCTTTTATCACGGTCGGCTACGTGCACTGCCAAAGAAGTTCAACATACTACACACACAAAACACATACACACACATCACACACCACAGCACAAAGCACACAGCACAGAAGATAACCAAATATCCCACCATGGAGCAGAACCGCTCTCCTCCCGCACAACCGCCTGCTGGCAAGAGGCAACGCTGCCTCTGGTGCCAGCGGTTCGCCACTCGTCTCCCAGTCTCCGGAGAGACGCCGCTCCCCCCATGCCCGCTTTGCGGAGAAACGTTCCCTCAGTCTGGAACTCGGAATGGCCACGGCCAGAAAGATGCCAAATGCTCTTTTAAATGCGCCGAATGCGGGAAGTCTTTCTTGCATCCGAGCAGCCTCCGGAGACATGGCAAGAAGCATGCACAGAGGGGGGAGAGGCGCTACTTCGAGTGCTCGCTGTGCGCCAAACGATTTGAGGAGTTGTCGCATCTTGAAGAACATCGCAAGACTCACGCAGAGGGGGAACAGAAGAGGCGTTTCTTCGAGTGTGCGGTGTGCGGGAAAGAATTTGCGAGGTCCTCCGAATTTGACGAACATCAGAAGACTCACAGAGGATCGTTGCACCTTGAAGAACATCACAAGACTTGCACAGAATCTTTGCATCTTGAAGAACATCAGAGGACTCACACGGAAGGACAGAGACGTTTATTGAATTGCACTGTGTGTGGCAAGGAGTTTGCGGAGTCTTCATATCTTGAAGAACACAGCAAGACTCACTCAGGAGAGACATCCTTCAAGTGCTCTGTATGTGGGATGGCGTTTGCAGAGTCATCACATCTTGAAGAACATCAGAAGACTCATGCAGAGGGGGCAGAGAGATGCTTCTTCAATTGCTCTGTGTGTGGGAAACAGTTTTCAGAGTCATCACATCTTGAAGAACACCGCAAGACTCACTCCGGAGAGACATCCTTCAAGTGCGCTGTATGTGGGATGGCGTTTGCAGAGTCGTCACATCTTGAAGAACATCTCAAGACTCACACAGGGTTGTTGCATCTTGAAAAACATCAGAAGATTAAAAAGGAAATGATGTTCTTCAAGTGCATGGTGTGCGGGATGGTCTTTGCAGAGTTGTCACATCTTGAAGACCATCGCAAGACTCACACCGGATCGTCGGATCTTTGCGAACTTCAAAAGACTCACACGGGGGTGGAGAGGCGCTTCTTCAAGTGCTTTGTGTGTGGAAAACAGTTTGCGGAGTCTTCACATCTTGAAGAACACCGCAAGACTCACGATGGAGAGACATCCTTCGTGTACGTCGTGTTTGGCAAGGCGTTCGCAGAGACGTCGCATCTTCAAGAACAAAAGACTCACACGGGGCAGGGGGGGAGGCATTTATTCAAATGTACCGTGTGTGGGATGGCGTTTGCAGAGTCGTCACATCTTGCCGACCATTGGAAGACTCACATGGGCACGGGGCAGATGCCATTTATGTACGTAGTGTGCGGAAAGGCGCTAGCAGAGTCTTCCAAGCTTGAAGACCACCGGAAGACTAACACGGAGGAGGAGATGCTGTTTAAGTGCAGGGTGTGTGGGAAAGAGTTTGTGGAGTCTTCGCATCTTCAAGAACATCAGAAGATCCACACGGCGGGGGAGAGTTGTTTCTTCAAGTGTTCCGTGTGTGGGATAGCGTTTTCAGAGTCGTTGCAGCTTCAAGAACATCACAAGATTCACATGGGGCAGAGACTCTTCAAGTGCGCGGTGTGCGGGAAGGCGTTTCCAGATTCATCGCATCTTGAAGACCATCGGAAGACTCACATGCAAGGGGAGCGGCATTTCTTCAAGTGCTCTGTGTGTGGGAAACAGTTTGTAGAGTCATCACATCTTCAAGAACATCAGAAGATTCACACGTGGGAGGAGATGTCATTCAAGTGCTTAATGTGCAGGAAAGACTTTGCAGATTCATTGCACCTTCAAGAACATATCAAAACCCACGCCAGAGACACATTCTTCAAGTGCTCTGTGTGCGGGATGGCGTTTTTAGAGTCCGTGCATCTTGAAGAACATAGCAAGGCTCACACCGGAGAGATGCTGTTCAAGTGCTTCGTTTGTGGGAAACATTTTGTAGAGTTATCACATCTTCAAGAACATTGCAAGACTCACACTCGGAAGAGACTCCTCAAGTGCGCAGTCTGCAGGAAGCAGTTTTCAGAGTCGTCGCACCTTGACGAGCACCGCAAGACCCACGCGGGGGAGACGCCCTTCAAGTGCTCACTGTGCCCCAAGGCGTTCCCTCTGCCCGGAGCCCTGAAGCGCCACCTCAAACTCCACGCCAGGGGCACGAAACGCTTCAAGTGCGCCATTTGCGCCGATGAGAAGGCCACTTTCACGACATTCCCTGAACTCACCGAGCACCGGAAGACCCAACATGCCGGGCAGCGCCCCTTCTGCTGCGCCACGTGTGGCAAAGCTTTCTCCCTGCCCAGAGCTCTTAACCGACACCACAAGACGCATGCCGGCGAGCGTCCGTTCCCCTGCCCCACTTGCGGCAAGGCCTTCCGTGAATCTGCCGACCTCCGGAAGCACCAGGATGCTGCCCACAGCACTGAGAGGTCATTCGTGTGCCCCATCTGTGGCAAGGGGTACCCCCGGTCGGCAACGCTCATCAGGCACCGGAGGATCCACACGGCTGAGAAACGCTTCAAGTGCCCCACGTGCGGCAAATCGTTCCTGGAATCCGGTAGCCTCCGGAGGCACCGGAAAACACATGCCCAGGGGTTCAAGTGCGCTGTCTGCGGGAAGTCATTCGCTCAGCCAGAAAAGCTGGAGCAGCATGGCAAGACACATGCCAGCGGCAGGAGGTTCAAGTGTGCAGTCTGTGGGAAGTCTTTCTCGCGCCTGGGAAACCTGAGGCGTCACGGAAATAAACACAAGGACGGGGAGTTGCGATTGACTACCGGGTATAAACAGGAGACTCGAGCGGGGAAGAAGACCCACACAGAGATGGAGTTACAAGGATCTATTGGACAGCAGGAGGAGACCCACACAAAGATGGAGTTGCACACAGAGAGGGAGTTGCAAGTAACTACTGGGTATCAGGAGACCCGAGTGAAGAGGGAGTTGCTAGAAACTACCAGACAGCATCAGCAGACACACACAGAGAGGGCGTTGCGTGGAACTACCAGACAGCAGAAGAAGACCCATACAGAGAGGGAGTTGCGAGGAACTATCAGGCAGCAAAAGAAGACTCGCACAGAGATGGAGTTGCGAGGAACTACTAGGCAGCAGAAGAAGACTCGCACAAAGAGAGAGTTGCAAGCAACTACCGAGCATCAGAAGACACACACAGAGAGGAAGTTGCGAGGACCTACAAGATATCACGAGACACACTCGAAGAGGGAGTTGCATGGAACTACCAGGCAGCAGAAGATGACCCACACAGAGAGGGAGTCGCGAGCAACTTCCGAGTATCAGGAGACCCGAGTGAAGAGGGGGGTGTGTGGAACTACCAGGCAGCAAAAGAAAACACACACAGAGAGGGAGTTACAAGGAACTACCAGGTATCAGGAGACCCGAGTGAAGCGGGAGCTGCGATGGACTACCAGACAGCAGAATACTCAAGCAAAGAGTGAGTTGCACACAGAGAGGGAGTTCCATGGAACTACCAGGCAGCAGAAGAAGACTCGCACAGATATAGAGTTGCAAGGAACTACCAGGTATGAGAAGACCCAAGAAGATATGCAGTTGCAAGGGAGATGTCAAGGTGGAGTGTCGGAGGTTGCTCCCAACCCCGACAGGCGTGGAGGAAGCAACAACGCTCGAGAGGAGGAGAGGGAGGAGAGGGAGACCTCTGGACAAGGACGAGGAGTGGGCGGTGACTCTGACTGCTTGGTGGAGGTTTCTCAGTTCCACGTTTGGGTGGACTCCGTGGGAGACTCCATGTGGGAGGGCCTCGTGTGTTTGGACCTCGAGTGAGACAAGAAAGTGAGGGGTGGGGTGTTTGTTTTGTTTCTCTTAACGTTTTAAATAAACAATAAACTATTTTGTATGGTAATAGGGGTAACGTGTAATGCCCACTGAGCTGTGTAGTTATGACTCACACGTAATAATATTCTTGTAATGTGGGAATTTATAGCAGCAGCCAAATATTCTAGACCCATAAAGTATGGATCTCTGTGTATTGGAGTCTGTAACTGGGTCTGTGGATCTCTATGGGTCTCTGAGTGTAGAAACACCCTTTTAATTTTTTTGGCTGCTGCTATAAATATCTACACAATGATATCAGCCACTTCGTCAAGCTATAATTACGTGTGATAATCCAGGCCGCTTCTGAAAAATAGCTAAGTAGCTCAGTGGGCGCTTGCCTGGTAAAATAAAATATAGCTTACAGTTTTAGTTTAGGATAACGCTGGTAGCATGAACCGTTTGCAAAAACATAGCATATTTTGTGTCGTGGGAAAAACATTTAATGCAAAAGTTTTTTACATCGCAAAGGGAATTCACTGCGAGAGTTTATATTCGGGGTGCAACAACTTTTTGAAATATGAAACACCCTGGGTTAAACCAGGAAAATGCAAATAAACGTGCATTGATGATGATAATATGCATGTTAAGTTTAACACCTAGCCTTTATTATTAACATGCATTGTCCTTATAACTGATTGGTTGATATGCCATCGTTGTGGCCTTGTTTATGCAAAAGTGCTATAGACCAGAATACAATGCCAAAAGACGACCAGTACAAGGGCAATGTAAACACACTTTGATAATAATGATAATAATGTATGATTGTTAAGTTTAACACGTAGGTTTTCTTATATATGTATGCATTGTCCTTGTAACTGATTGGCCTACAACAGTGCTATAGACCGGAGTACAATGCCAAAATGCGACTAGTACAAGGGCAATACAAACAACCATTATTTGATGATGAAAATATATGCGTGTTAAGTTTAACGCGTCTCTGCTTTATTATGAATGTGTGCATTGTCCTTGTAACGGGATTGGCCTATACACCACAGCTAAGGACTTGTCTCTGCACCAGCACTATAGTCCAGAGTATAACGCCAAAAACATAACTAGTACAAGGGCAATACAAACAACCATTATTTGATGAAAATGTTTGCGTGTTAAGTTTAACACGTCGGCTTTATTACGAATGTGTGCATTGTCTTTGTAATGGATTGGCCTATACACCACAGCTAAGGCCTTGTCTGCACCAGTGTTATAGACCAGAGTACAACGCCAATAGGCGACCGGTGCAAGGGCAATGCAACTTTCAAAGCATACATTAATCGGGTCGAGCAGTTACGTTAATAAGTGTCTTTTTGGTGTTTAAGCATCTTAACACCTCTGGTATTATTGCCAGAGGGCTAAGTAAAGCATTTGTTTTTCTTCGTACCTTTTGATCTCCGGTTATACCTGTGATCACTTTATATTAACACGTCCTTCTTTCGTACGGCTGACGTAGATGCAGAGCAACAATTACTATTTCACATTCAGGTGGTCAAACAAGATAACTGCGTCAGGAGCAGTGGAGTGTATTATCGTTGTGATGTCTCCTTTGTATTTGTGGATCAGGGCATTGCGTCTTTATACCTTGCATGGTCTGTTCGTGATTACCACACTTGCACATTTTTGGAGAGTTTTTTTTCTATTTGTGCATCACATATCTGCTGTTGCCATGGTTTGTGCAGTGGATGCAATTAAGGGTGGATCGTGAGCTGCATGGAATATTAAACCCAAGGATCTTCTGCAACAAAGTGGTGGTGATATCACCACGATGCATGCACCAAGCTAGGTGCACTTTTGAGGCCACGTGAAGTTTTGAACGCCTGCTGGCAGGAGGTCACGGGACAAACCAACTGTTGTTCATCTTTCAGTGGGTGGCGTAAGCAACCACCATTCCCCAGCTCCCATTGATGGGGAGGCGAGCCCACAGCAGCCTGGGACTCAGATTTTCACACCTCACCGCCACGCTCAAATGCCACCTTAATGATTTTGTTCAGAAGAGCCACTCCCTGTTTAGCAGTCTCCTGCCACGCAATATCTAGCGAAGACGGCAGTGATGACGAGTCGAGTCCACACCCCAGAACCGGCAGCCACGAGTTCCCGCTCTCAGCTGGCTCTGCCCTGACCACACCTCCCTTCTCGAACCCACGAGCAGGTTCCAGGGGCTTCCAGATGGGGTCTTCTATGACCCTTGCCCCAGTTACTCCGACTTGTCGACACACCCGTGTATATGCTCACCGGCGTGTGTACTGTTGATCCACCGCAGTTACCGTTGCTGGACAACAGTCGGCGCGATTACACTGCATCGCCCAACCCCCCCCCCCCCCCCCCCCCGTTAAAGAAACCAGCTGTCTCGGCTGACATCCAGCAACTGTAACTGGGTGGACAGGCAGAGCAACCCCCCAACCCCGAAGAACACCACTAACACAAAATAAAAGCCCCGGTCGCAACACTTCATGCGACCTTACAGCACAAACGCGGCGCTTGCCACGAACCGTCACCACACAGCGCAACCCCAGCACCCCCTGCGGACCGCCAACATAAGGGACAACCCACGGCCCCCGCCCACGAACCAACAAAGGACAACCACGGCGCTTCCCGCGAACCAACAACACGCAGCGCAACCGCGGTGTGGGCAAACAACCCCATCAGGGACCGCACAACCGTGACGCCCCCCTCCACGAACCGACAATGCAACTTCACATACACAATCCCCCCCGAATCCCACTTTACAAGACAGAGTCTGCCTTTACCGGACGAAGCTCGCGTGAGCTGGTCCTTGACACCGGTCAATCCTGCCTTGGCAGGGGCTGCCGGAGGGATGAATGTCTCTCTGTCCCTGTCCGACAACACTATGGGTGGGTTCTTTCTTCACCCCACTTCTGACACCAGTTGTAGTGTGAGCGGAGCGGGAGACAAGGTTTTTCAGGAGCACCTTTATTATGAGTATGGGTATCTGTTGTTCTATCTGTCTGTGCGAGTCTGCAGAATCATGCATTTAGATTACATAGAGATTGCTTAGTTTATGATGTAATTTCCCATTTGATGCACCCATATTTGTCAGATCTGGGTGCCCCTTGAGCTGCTTGGGGCTCATCTTAGCTTTTGCTTAGTTAGCTTGGGCCTGGCACCTGCCACCTGCCACCATGCCCCTGATGGACACACGATCTGGGTCTGACTTCGATGAGACATTCGTTCCTTTCGGGATTCAGGGAGCTCTGGCTCAACGATGCCGAGCAGCCCAGCACTGGGTGGAAGAGCCACATGAGCTGATGCCCCTCCTCAGCCGTTGGTGCCTCCGGGCCTGTGCGACAATGACCGTGAAGGGGGGGGGGGGTATTCTATAGCATTAAAATCATGGGTAATTCAGAAAAACATTTTTAACCATACTGGGTTTCAATAGATGAGTCACAATCACCTTGATAAACAATGGTTAAGCACTAAAATAGATATGTTCAGACCTTTAGAAATCCACTGCTGGACGAGGGTCTCCCCAGGCCATGCCGATTTGGGGGGTGTGGGGGGTGGGAGGTTTGACCATTCTTCACGCTGTTCAATGAAAGTTGTTGAAGGGGGGGAGCAAAGATAAATTCAAATAGAGCTCTCCACTGATATCAGCTGTGCCCGGTCACTTGCTCGGTTCAAAGTGCAGAGGGAACAATTGGTGCCAACTCCACCCACAAACACAGATCCCAGGTCGTCACGTAACATTGCGTTTATGGTACCGCCAAACAAGAACTCACAGCACGCGCCACTCTGGGACCTGAATTGCCAGCCGTGGTCAATCCAGCTGCCATGTCTTAGGATTCTGCGGTGTAGTAAGCCACCTAGCCCCTTCCCACGAGCTGGATTCATCGCTTCATCTCTGCGGGCGTCAGAGAGACACGTTCAGAATGATTTACTTATATAGCACAATTCAGTTTAGAGCTTAAGTTTTCGTGACTGCAATGTCCCATACTCTTTAGTTCTTTCGGTAAAGTCACGTAGGTATAAAAAAAAGAATCACGACGTTTCGGAAGCAACACAAGCTTCCGTCATCAGGTGGGACAACCACAGTAAGAAACAAATTACTGTAGTGGGCAAGAGTCGCTTGTAACAAGATGTTATATAAGGCAAGAGGGGGGAGGAGCCAGGGAGGAGATGCAGGGGACGGGGGGGGGCTACAACCACTACGTTGCCAAAGCCGAATTAATTAAGATATTACCATGTTAACATCCTTTCAGTGGACTGTGCGACAAACAAACGCGAGTGAAGCTACAACCACTGCCGACGCCGAAGTAATTAAGATATTACCATGTTAATAATATCTTTTTGTTTGAGAAGAAACCTGATGGCTCTTTGGGACACTGTCTACAGGAAAGCCACCCACACAGATTCCTATCTGAAACCTGACTCCCACCACCATCCGGCACAGAAGAATTCCCTCATCAAAACATTACACCATAGGGTCCACTGCATTTCTGGCTAATACCACCTGGCCAGTGAATTGGAACACGTGCACCAGGCCCTAAGGATGAATGGATATTCGGACCATATCCGCAAAGATTTTTCTCCAACCATGGAGAAACAACCCCCTGAGATTTCGATCAAAACCATCACGTTACTATAGCTGGCATTGCCAAAAAGATTTCCAAAATCTTAAACAAGCACAAGATCCAGGTCCGATTCAGTACAGTACACAAAATCCGTGATCTAATCCCCTCCATAAAGGATGTCATTCCTGACATGCAATACCCTGGAGTCTACAAACTTAGTTGCATTTGTGGCAATTGTTACATTGGAGAAACAAAACGACATGTATTGGACTGCATTCGCGAGCACAAGGCAAATTTAAAACATGGCAGAACTAGCTTTTCCGTAGTTGCTGATCACTCCTATAACGCTGTGGGCTCTCATGATATAGTTTTTTTCCAAGACCAAGGTCCGTCAGGCTACTATCAAAGGTTTGTTCATGAAGCAATCCAGATATACAAACACACACAACTTCAAACGAGAGGATGGCTACAAACTGAGCAATCATTGGAAGGATATTATTAACCAGGTAAAATCTTAATTGCTTTCATAGCTTGCTTCCACACTCGCATTTCCAGTTTCTGCAGCACGCTACCCCCCCCCCCCCCAGGCCCGCTCATTGCCCAGCTCCGGGACTGGGTCGCACCAGCGATTGTTAGTCGCACAGTCCACTGAAAGGATGTTATACTGGTGTAATGCGAGCGTAAATGGGGTTGCTGCTGGACTCTGGCTCAATCACATGACCTGGGGTATTGGGGGCGGAGCCGGTATGGGGGGCGTGTGAGAGGGGCCGCCGTTCACCTCGGCTCCAATGGGAAGCGAGGTGAATGGAGGTGGAGCCAGCAGGGCAGTATGGGAAGGCTGGATCTGACGATCCAGAAGGGAGGAGTCAGGATCACGTGGGGGAGATGATATAGAGAGGAGCCCGGAAGAGGTTGGGACCAGTTGATGGAGTGAAGAAGCGGGACCACGTTGGGTGGCCGCCGCGCCATCAGCCACGTGGCTGATGGGGCTTCGGCACACCGTCGGCCAGCGGTGTGCGGAGCGGGAGAAGGAGCTGACGGAGGAGCGTGCGGGGCACGCGAGAGGAGCGCGCGGGGCACGCAAGAGGAGCGTGCGTGGCACGCGAGAGGAGACGCTGGTCCCTTGTCAGGACCAGCGGGGTGTGAGGACGAGTGAAGGAGCTGAGGAGGAAGCGCGTGCGTGGGGCGCGCGCGAGAGGACGCTGGTCCGTGGAAGAGGCCAGTGGGGTGCGGAGAAGAACCTGAATGAAAGACAAGCGGAGACCAGCAGTGCCTGACAGAGTCTTTTATTACACTGGAGTCAGAGGTGGACTTTTTCAAGGCAAAATAATATCGAGGAAGATGGCCGAGAACTTGAAAAAGCGTAACCCACTTGTTCCGTCTTCCGACGACGAAGAGACGGCCGCCGGCGCACGTCCAGCGACGACGTGGCAGGCCGCCGCCATCTTGAACATCGCGGCGAAGAGGCGGCCGTACGCCGCCATCTCGGAGGCGCCGGCGGGGTGTGCATCCTGCTGCTGAGCAGCTGTTTTGCGGGAAGGAGCTGCAAGGTCAGGACGCCGATGCTGCTCTTGCCGGGGCGGGAGCACCCCCATCCTGGCTCGTGTGCGAGACACCGGAGCAGTCGCGGGAGGACGCCGCGCTCACCGTCCGAGTTCTTCGAGGTGTCTCAAGTCACCACCCTGCCGTCCTATGCTCGCTGCAGCCCCGGGCGAGTCGTGACGATATGCACCCGGTCCTAACACACACCTCACCCATCTTGCTTGTGCCGGGGTGTGATTGTTGTTATGTCTCGAGCGTGCGGAGCGCGGGTCGGACTGTGTGTGTGTATGGACGGGCTGTCTGCTTGTGTTGCTCTGTGTCAAATAGTGTTTATGCGTTGCGGCATGGGGATGTTATCTTGATGGCGAAGTTATTATTAATTCGGTTGCGTCGAGTGTCCCGCGCTGTTACCATCCCGTGGGTTGCCGTGTGCGACGTGGTTATTTTGATGATTTTTTTTGCTGCACGGTACGACAGGGTTAACAGTGTTGTCTGCCTGCAGCTCTGCTTGCGATTGTGTATGATGTACGACCTGTGTGGAACTTTGCTGCTTGTAATCGCGATATGCTGACTGCATATACTGTATAGACTGTCTTTCTGTACGGGATTGTTATTAGTTGTGCGTACCTGTTCGGAAATTGGTCAATTCGGAGGGGACCCTCAAATTTGGTTGTATGGGTGTTCGTGTACACGAGATTGCATGTGTGTTCATAGGAAATTGCGAGTGTTGAGGGATGAGGGCGTTGTTGGTGTTTCTGCCGTAAAGGGTGATGGGGTCGTAAATTGCCGCCAAGTGGCGTCGCTCTTTCCGTTGATTGCATGCGGCCAGGGGTTGCATTGCGAGTTGGTGTGTATGAGCAGTGTGTCTTGGTCAACTATGGGTTAAAAATTCCCCCGATACGACTGCTGTGCACAGCGAGCTGCGGCTATGCATCGTATTGTTGGGGGTTGTTAAAACGTGACAGGGGATGTGTGTTGTGACCCTCAGCAAGGGGCAGCAGGGGTGCACGCACGGGGAAAACTGCCGACGTGGTCGCACGTTGGGCCGCCATTTTGGCTAGCGCGGGAAATCGTGGGGATGCGCTTGGAGAAGGGGCCGCCATTTTGTGCGTGCGCGGGAAATCGCGGGGATGCGCTT